AATGCCGTTCTGGGATCTGTTTGCCTTATAGATGAATAAGCAATTGTATTTATAGTGCTCCAGAGTGGTGTTAGACTGGGAATCCAGGGTCCCCTTTTATTATCATGAACTGACCATCTAAAGTATGCATGCCTTTCCACCCATCCCCCAGCTACCTCAGTGTGATCGTCTTTGGGATACCCAGGATTGCAAGTCACCTTGCTACCCTCTTGCCTCAAAGAAGAGAGAGACTTGCTTGTGCTTAACTGGGTATCCACTGCCTGACACTTCCAGTCTGTTAGCCACCCAAACAATATTTTCATAGCTGTGTCAGCCCTTACTTTGACTTGCCAGTTAATAGTAGCATTTTGAAGCCTTGCCAGCCCCAGAGCATTTTGAAGCATTCCTTCGGTAGCGATCAGCCCCATATCCACTACACACACAGTAATTTCAGGCCTGCTGTCCCGAAGGAGGCAATGTACATACCTGCTTACTTGGTCCAACTCAGGATCAGCACTTAATGTCACAGCCCTGAAATATATTTATAGTGAAAACAATCATAAGTTCTTGTTCAAGTGCTTGCTCATGTCCATTCCACATTAGGTGTGTGCGCTCACCACATGCACCAGTGCCGGAAGTTTTTCCCTCAGCAGTATCCATAGAGGAGTGGCTCTGGCGCCCTCTGGAGTGGCACCAGTATGGCGTGGTATAAGGGGTGCTGCCGGCTCCCCCCACTCTCAGTTCCTTCTTGCTGCCAGTCATGGTGCACAGAACATTTGCTGCTCTTATTAGCATTGCTTAGGCTTTGTTCATACAAACTAGAGTTCTTGTAAAGTTAGTGTACATGGTTCGTAGTTGAGTTAGTTAGCCCTTTAGCAGTAGTTATGAGTTTTGTTAGTCCTGTTGGACAATTAGCCAGGAGATGGGGCATGCCCCAGGCTTTAAGCTCTGCAATCGCTGCAAAAAGCCCAGGCCCGTGAGCAATCCACATAGTAGCTGTCTCAGGTGCCTTGGTGAAGGGCACATAAGTGCTAAGTGTCGAATCTGCAAATCCTTTAAACCCAGGACTAAGAGAGAGTGTGAGATCAGACTCAAAGCGCCTCTGATGGAGCCGGTGCTCACTGTGGCCCCGGAGCAAAGGTCTGAATCAGCACCTAGCACTGCGGCATCGGTGCGTAGTGCCTCTCCGGCGCCATCAATGAGCTGGCACCAATCCACAGCCCCGGCCAAGAAGCTGAAGAAGGCCAGCAGGGGACGGTCTCCTACTCCACGCAGTGGGAAAGACAGGGCTTGGGATGAGCTCAGAGACGCAGCAGGCAGCCCATCTCCCCCATCAGGAAGTTGGACCTCAGCTCATGTCATGAGATGCAGCCCACCCCATTCCTTGCCTGGAGGTCCGGACATATAGGCTGGCCTTCATCAGCTTCAGGTGCTGTTGACAACTGAAGCACTCCAGGCTGTGCAGGAGATCCTGACGCTCCTGGTGCTGCCCACATTGGCCCCAGCGGTGCCCAGATCTAAGCCCGCCTTGGGACCTTTCCATCCACCCTCCCCCCAACAGTACCGTTCCCCATTGTGGGGGACATCACGCCACCACTCACCCACTCGAAACCATCATGTCTCGGAGTTAGGGAGGCAGACGCATTGGAGTCCTCTTTGGTCACGGGACCTTGGGCACTGGCAGTGGGATTTGAGGCAGACCTCGCCGGTTACCTGGCGCAGACCCACAGAGACACGCGTTCCTCGGTAGGAACGTTGGGACCGGCCATTGCGTCACCGGAACGCCATTACAGATTCTGTGAATGATTGGAGGACCGTAGCCGTGGGCCCCGCCAACGATCCCCGAGACGGATGTCTCCGTATTCGGGGAGATCCTGCCCAGCCCGCGATACCTCCAGGTCCCACTCCTCGTCCCGGTACCAGTCTCAAAGTGCAAGGCGTGGATCGTTGGTCTTCCGTTGTAGTTCCGCCGAGCGCCGCCGGTCACAGAGGTCCCCATGGCGGCGCATGTTCCGCTCAGACTGGTCCTCTTCTAGACGCGACTGCGATTATCGCCAGACACGGAGTTGCTGCTTCAGTGGATCCGGTCATCGGGTAGCAGTCGCTATGGATATGGCTCCAGTATGGAGCAAGGCTCCGCATCGGCGGGGCAGCCTCCGAGATCCTCGGTGCCCGCCTGCATCATCGGTACCGAAGCCTGCCCTATGGCCCAGGCCCAGTGGCTGGCCCTGTGGTACCCATGGAAACCACGGGGGTTCACCCAGCCCTCCCAGCCTACCCGCTCGGTGTTGAGAGCCTCGGACAGGCCTGTGGCCTCGACGACCCAACTCCCTCCGGTGCTTGAGGCCCCAGGGGATAAGACCCCAAAAGTCTATGTGGACCAAGGGAAACAGTCTGCTGGACCACCAATGGGTGCCGTGGAACCCGCGGTACCAGCCGCCGCCACCTCATCACTGGATGAGGTCATCACGGAACTCCCTCACCTGGTTCCTCAGGGTGACACTGAGGCACACCAGGAGCTGTTGAAGAGGGTCACGTCCAACCTTGGCCTGCAGGCGGAGGAGTTGGAGGAGCAAGCGTACTCCTCTTCAACGTCCTCTCCTTCACAGGCCCTGCTAGGGTGGCCCTTCCCCTTCATGAAGGGGTATTGAAGATATCCAATGCCTTGTGGCAAATCCCCTCCTGTCTGCCCCCTATCTCCAAATGGGTAGAAGGTAAGTACTTTGTCCCGACTAAGGGGCACGAATACCTTTACTCCCATCCTAGCCAAAATTCCGTGGTGGTTGAGGCAGTTAACCACAGGGAATGCCAGGGGCTCCCCGGAGCCACCCCCAAAAATAAAGACTCTAGGAGACTGGACTTGTTCGGACGGAAAATTTTATTCCTTGTCTGGCTTATGGTTGAGGCTGGCCAACCACCAGGCCCTCCTTGGCTGCTGTGACTTTAATATGTGGCAAAGCGCGACCAAGTGCGAGAATGCCCTCCCGGAAGGTTCCTGTAAACAATTCTGGGCGATCTTCGATGAGGGCACGGCTGCTGCCAGGGCAGCCCTTCAAGCAGTGTCTGACGTGGCAGACTCCGCCACCTGTACCATGGCATCCACCATCTACATGCAGCGAGTGGCCTGGCTGCTCCTCCCTGGGTTGCCTTCCGGGGCTCAGCAGTTGATTCAGCACTTCCCCTTCGATGTCAAGGCCCTGTTTGCAGAGCAGGCGGACAACAAATTACATGGGCTGAAGGACTCCCGAACCACCCTAAAAACCCTGGGGTTCTACGTTCCGGTCCTGGCATGTAAGCGGTTCAAATCGCAACTACCCCAGGGGCAAGGGAGCCAACCCCGGCAGGACCGCACACACAAAAAGCCCAAGGGCTATAGACTGCGCATGAGCCACCGGCCCCACCCTCTTCACAGTCAGGCTGGACTCCCGCTCCAAGCAAGGAGCTAAAAAGTTGTTTCAACGGTACGCCCGAGGGCGACCTACCAGTCTATTCCCTGGATCCGATTTTTCCCAATTGTTGGCAACCACCTTTCCTTTTTCCTCCCGGCGTGGTCAGTGATGACTTAGGACCGCTGGTCCTCAGTACTGTGGCGCACAACTACACCTTCCAATTTATTTCCACAACCCCTCCCCCCCCTTCCATCTTCAGGCACCCTTCTCACGAGAGTCTTCTTGAGCAGGTGGTTCAGGGGCTCTTACAGCTGGGGGCAGTCGAGGAGGTCCTGCCTCCTTACCAGAACAAGGGTTTCTATTCCCAGTATTTTCTGATCCCAAAGGCCAAGGGTGGGCTGTGTCCCATCCTGGACCTGCGATACTTCAACAGATACCTAAAGAAGCTAAAGTTTCGCATGGTCTCCCTGGCCGCCATTATCCTCTCGCTGGATCCAGGAGACCGGTATGCCGCCCTCAACCTGAAAGATGCATACATTCACATAGTGATCTTCCCAGGACACAGACGCTTTCTCCGTTTTACGGTTGGTTTGGCCCACTACTAGATTGTGGTCCTTCCGTTTGGCCTGGCTACAGCACCAAAGGTGTTTACCAAGTGCATGGCAGTAGTCGCAGCCTACCTCCGGTGTCAGGATATCCAGATTTACCTGTACCTCGACGACTGGTTGGTCAAAGGCAACTCCAAGCCTCAGATCCAACTCAACATCACTGTACTATAAGCCACGTGCCACTCCTTGGGAGTGGTCAACCATAAGCAGCCCCCATTAGTTCATGTTCAAAGGATAGACTTCATAGGGGCCATGCATAAAATATAAATGTGAGACCTATAAAACCAGTGCAGGAAGAATACCATTAATTTGCGGAAGCATCCTAAATCTATTGAGGTTTCCACAGTGCCCCACAACACTTCCTCTATACATGTTCTCTTCTGGTAGGGAAGAAGCTGGGAAGCCTGCTACCTGCATACAGGAAGCATTTTCAGTGGTCAATGGCAGGAGACAGATCTCCTGCTAGCTGCAGCCACAACTAGAACAGCAGCCTCTGGTAACCAGTGGTGAGAATTGTAGTTAATATAATTTCCATCCCACTTGTGTTGGGACAAAGATAAAAATTCAGTGTCATACCCATATCAGGCTACTGGAAAGTGTGCTAATGACTGGATATAGCAAGCAGCTCAGTAATGCTTGGAGTCTCCAGGAAGTAAGATGGTCAGTGTAGTAGTAAGAGGCAACAAAGAATTTAAACTTAAAAAAAAGAACCAAACTTGGTAACTTTACCTCCCCTGGTGATCAGTTAAAGTTAATCAGTGCAAAAGATTCCATCTGCTCTTTTAATTTTGAAGTCCCACCAGACCCAGTCTCTTTTTCTTAAATAAAGTTTTTTTTATATTTAAAGCACCATTTAAATGGTCTGGCATATTCCAAATTTGATGAATGGTGCAGGTACACCTCTGTCTTAGAAAACCCAAGATTTGAATTTGAAAAATGCACACTCTGCTCTGTTTCCGTATGTATTTTGTATATGTTTGCGCATTCAAAACATCTGCCCATTTAAGCACTTTCTTATTGATAGGTAAGGCTATCTTCAAAGGAGGCAGTTCATAAAGATGATGGAGTTTTTAAGGCTCCTGCACCACCTCCCAAAGTGATAAAAACTGTGACAATACCTACTCAGCCCTATCAAGAGATAGTAACTGCATTGAAATGTAGGAAAGAAGACAAAGAAGTAAGTATTTTTAAGACATTTTTAAGGTAATTATTGGTATTTCTAATATATACTGAAGGAATAGTGTCAAAGTGAGGCTTTAGCTTTCACCGTTAAAGTTAATGGTTTTATGTCTGATTAGGTTTCGTTTAAAGATAACATTAAATGTGTTAATTTTATAATCTATCCCAACAGCAATTTATTGTGTTCAAAATATATTTGTATCTTCCAGTTATACACTGTTGTTCAGCATGTAAAGCACTTCAATGATGTAGTGGAATTTGGTGAAAATCAAGAGTTCACAGATGATATTGAGTACTTGCTAAGCGGACTGAAGAGCAATCAGCCTCTAAACACACGTTGCCTTAGGTGAGAGATATTAACATAAAGTATCTTGTATATATTTACTGTATTCAAAGGAAAAAAGTGAGTTAAATATATTTCTATTAAATAAGTGATCTGACTTTAAAATGTTAGTTACCTGGAGTTTCTGCTGTCTAGAACAAAAAAAAAATACATCTGAAAATATTGGAGATGACATTTACAGAATATCGTAAGTGTGAATGTATAATGTGGGGAAGGATAAAAGAGGGTTTTGTGCAGTAAAATTACATCCCCAAATTTACTATTGTACTGCTTAAAGACAAAGATTACACTAACTTTTCTTTGTTTGGATATGATTATAAGCGAGGAAGCATCTATCCACTGTTCTTTAATAGAAAATTCAGTTTTTAGATAAATAAATAATATATATGTGGAAAGAATCCCCAGATACTTACTGACAGTGATAATATAATATCATGCTGAGGTTTCCTTCATTCTGCCAACAGTCTGTTCTTTATTTCCTATTGCGAATGCCATAGCCCACATTGGTGCTCACTGCAGCTTTTGCAGGCCTGGGGTTAACTAACAATCCTTGTTAGAATTCTAATGATGTAAAACATGAACATTAGATTATAGTCAGTCTTTTGTTAAATTTTGCTCATCTCTACATTTGCATCTTGCATTGTACAATTAAATCCTGTTCTTAACAGAAATGGAATTAGATGTATAAAATCTCATGTTGAAAATATTTATTCATGATCACTGTTTGTTTTCTACAGTTTGTGAACCTAAAAATACCAAGGAGAATGGTTCTATAGCGATATAAAAATCCCTTTTACCTTCCATACTGGTATAATTCTTTGTGTACAGCTGTGGCAAAACTGCAATTATTGTAGAAGAAAACCGTGAACTGTAGATTTAGATGACAGTGAAATTTTATCTGGCATCCTGAGATGTATCAAAAACAGCTATAGAACTTTAAAAAGCAGTTATTAAATCAAGAGTTTCCTCCAGGTAACTCAACAAATTGCAGTAATGTTGATTGATTTAACATAACTTGCAGAAATCTCAATCCTCCTGTTTGAGTTATTTATATATGCAATTATGTAAATAAACAATATAACTAAGAATTTTAGAATTAAGTTATTCACACTAGGGATGCAAAATGTTAACCAGTTAACCAGTAAGCATCAGTCTTACCGGTTAACCCGCCTTAACTGTTAACCCCTTGGCCGGCCAGCCGACCCCAGCAGCCCTGCGCCAGCCGGAGCGGGCCCAGCCTTAGCCGCTTAATCAGATAACCGTTTAAATACTTTTAAATCATTTAAATGGTTAACTTTTTAAACTGTATTTACACCCCTAATTCACATTCAATACACTGAGTCTCTGTAAACTTTCAAAATTTCTTTTAAATCTTGTTTACTTCTGAAGTTATATAGGGTTTCACTTGTACTCATTGGAGTAAAGTTCAGTCAACGAATTGCAAGGTGTGTGTTTTCCAAAGAAAATGATATATAGGGGTAAGGATAGCAGTAGACTTAGGAGAATTAGAAGCCTTGTTGTCAAGCTGAACCTCTTTGAATGCTGTTGCTGTGATTGGAGACTGTAAAAGATCTAAACATGACGTTCTCATATGATTTTTAAAGGTTGCTTTGGTTTCATAGAGGATTTTTTTATTTCCCTTCCACCTTTTGGAGACATTTAAGCTTTTAATTTTTAATTATAAAAGTAAGGAAATATAGTCTCCTTAAAACAAAATTGAGTATAGTACTAAGAAACTTCACAAATTTTAAAGGAACACTTTTGTAAAACCTATATGGTAGGCTGTGCTGGGTACACCTGAAAATTCAGACAGTCGTAACTAGAGCTATGAAAAGCACACTTTAAAAAAAAAAAAAAAGAATTGTATGTGAGGGAAGAGAAGGAACAAAAACACCCCCAAATCCATGACTGCCCATTCTAAGCAGGCATTTTGAATATTGACGCGAGAGGGGAGGATCTGAAGTAAGAGAGGTGTGCGTACCTGATGGTTTGGGGGGCAGAGCCTTCTTTTTCCTCTGGTTCAAAAGTGATTTCTTGGGTTATTCCAAACTTTCCCCACCGAAATCCAATCTTCCTCCTGGCCATAGATTAGCTATGTGAAACTTCAGGATAAACTGATATTTCACAATATTGCACGGAGAGGAGGGATTACAAATAGTTAGGCATATAATAGAAACAGTTTTTAACTTTAACCAGGGTGTCAGTTCACAATACACTTTTCTTGATCTTCTTCACCAAGTTGGTGTCTTACTAGTGAAGGTTTTCTTTCAACTAAAAGTTGTTCCTAAAACACTTGATGTTACCCATTTGCAACCCTATTGTAGCTAACATTAAAAGAAGAAACCAGACTTAGCCCAATATGAGTAAGCAACCCTAAAATAGAATGCTGCATATCTTCACCATTTGAGATTGGCGGTAAACCTTACAAGAATATATATAACAAGCCCTTTTATCAGCCCACAAACAGTTGGATTTTCTGATGTACACATGTTAATGTTCGTAAGACTTGTTTGCTTAACTAGCCTTTTTTTAAAATACATGTAGTGACTTTCAAACACATTAATGCCTGCCTGTTTTTTCCAGTGTTATTAGCTTGGCGACAAAGTGCGCCATGCCCAGTTTCCGAATGCACCTGAGAGCACATGGAATGGTAGCCATGGTCTTCAAAACACTGGATGACTCCCAACACCACCAGGTATTCAAATTTCATGTATCCTATGTAATTAGTTAGTTTCAAGTCACATTGGGATTGATGTACATAAATGAATGGAGATGGTAGAAATATAGAAATGTATTTATTAGGTTTTTAGTATAGATTGATTGCATTTGTTTAGCATTTTTCTGGAAATATTGGCCCGACTTCAGAAGTCTACACAGAAACATAACATGGGAAATTCAAGAGAGTGCATGTGTTCTCTTGCGTGCAATCAAAGGTAGCAGAAACTCTTGATTTCTCTCTCTCTCTCCCCAATCCTTCCCCCCACACTTTTTTTTGAGGCTTGATAAAGCTTGTTTAAAATTCATAGTCTTAAAAACTTTGGGGCTGAGTTTAGGTTTATGATTTCAAATCTTTATCATTTTAAGTATCATACTACCTTTATTCATTACATTTAGTTTAAAAGTAGTACTTAGAAAAGTTAACACTAATATTCTATTTTTCTTCCCAATTTCATTCTAGTAAAAATAAAGAATAATCCAGATATTTATCTCCAAACTTAAACTCGTCAGTGTAAAATAGCTTGAATGTAGATACTCTCCTTTTTTCCTTTGTAGTTGTCTACAGTGTGTGCATGCTATGCTAGTGTTCTTAAGCAGTGCTGTAAGTTGTAGAGTGGCACAGCATTAACTAGTAATGAAAGATCTTCTTGAAAGAATTCAGCTACCCTAACCAGTGAGATGAAACTGAAGCTATACGAGTTTTCCTATTCCCCCAAACCGCACAAGTTGGGTTCAGCTTCAGTGGAAAACCATTTCTAAGACTTGTAGCTGCAATTATTTTTTTCCCCAAGACATTTGTGGAGAATGCTATGAGGAGGGATTGTTACAGAAGCTGATTTTGGAAACATCCATTTGATCCTTTGTGTAGTTAATAAATCTTGTCCAACCAGCTGTTTCTTTGACCTCTATTGTATGTTGACTTGACAAAATACATGCGAGAACAATGTTGAATTTGCTGTCTTCCCACAAGCAATCAAATAGTGGTCATGAATGGCATGGAAATGCTAATAAGTACATTTTAAAATTAAATAAGATCTCATTCCTTTGTAGTCATGAAACTGAGGGTAGCCAAACACAGGCAATTTCTGTGTGACAGAAAAGTTGTTGAGGGAGTAACTTTGAGCTCATTGTTTTGACTAATGCATGGTATGCATGTGCAATAACCTCTTCTACTATGTTGTCTTTAACCATTGCTATCACTACTTTATTTTTAGATGAACTAAAACACCAGTTTCAAAAAAGTACTTGCAATATACGATTGCAGCAAAAAAACACAAAACAGTTAAATTGTTACTTTTTTCCAGAAATATATTTGACCCAGTAAACATCCACTTTCAATATGTTGAAAAGAAAGTTAGGTATTCATATAATGTCTTTTAAATGTATTTTAGATATAGGAACTAAGACCTTCTGAACGGCTAATTTTATGTCTTTGTCAATAATTGTGTAATATTCTGTAACTGGAGATGAATATTTATGCTTTACATAAAATAATCCCGCTGCATACTTCCTCACTGCTGTTGCATTTAACATCTGTGTTTCACTAACATTTTTAATTTTGTTCAAATGATTAGAAATAGATTTTGCCCCCAAGTCTCAACAAGAGCAACACAGAATTCAAGCCCATCCAAAAGAAAATGGGGAAACAGTTACTTCAAAATAGAAAAATGGACCTGCCATATGGCATTGTGTCCATTTCATGACATAGGTAGTGCTAACCTCACTTGAATTTAGAAAGGTTTTGAAAAAGGAAACTTCATATATATGCACATTTTTGTAACTATTTATAGTTTGGGAAAGAGAAAAGGCTTTGCCCCAAATGACAACATAGTTGGAAATAAATGTTGTTGATCAATTATTACTTCCACTGCAACTATACTCTATAATGGATTTGAGAAAATAAGATTGTTAGTTTACCTTACGAGTGTATGAAATAGTAGTTGCGATGAATAAATTATTTTGTGCCCAGTAGGCACAATAAAATTACCAGTTATCTCAGAGTTATTCTCAAATACAAATTGTCATCTTTGAAAAATACTTGCTCCACCTAATTAGTAATCAAGAAACTGCAGTTTAAATACCAGCTTAACTATCTTTTTCAGAATATGCTGTGAATGCTTCAGAGTAGTAGATTATTTTTTAAATAAAAAATGTTTTTATGAACATTGTCAGTAGTTACACACAAAAACGTGTCTCTAATGTCTTGAACATGTGAATAATTCAGAAATATAGAATAAATTGAAATATAATGCTAGACCTTTGAAAATTACCATCTGTTCCCACAAGCTGGAATATAAATAGAATGAGAACAAGGAGACAAAGATCAAAATTCTTCTGAGTGGGAGTAATTGGCCTGCAGTTTTTGGTGTGTATGTAACAAGAGTTGAAGGTGTATCTCTCTTCCCCCCCCCGAACCCTATTAGAGGCATAAGTTGCAATTCCATAGTCAAGGTTGCCTTCAGACTTCTGTCATAATCCCTATTTTTTACCCATCTCTTCTCTTTTTCCCCCTCCCCTCTCCAATGTTTGTTTGGAGGAATCATTTCTCTGAAAATCTGCATTGTTAAAATAGATTTTCCCAGAAAATATTCTCTAGACGTCATAGCCCTAACATTCAAATCTTTATACTGTGATGAATCCAAAATTAGGATTTTATAAAATCTTGCATCACTGACCCCCTCACCCTATTCCTCAGCATCTCTTCTCATCATAGGCTTGTGTTCAGAACTCCTAAACTGACACGTGTACATGCGCGCACACAATAGTTTTCTGGTGTTGAGCTAAACCTTTTAAGCAAATATTCAAAATGAACCAAATCCCTGTCAGGCAGACTAGTGTATAAAGATGTGTACACATGACATGACCAAGCTGCTGAAATGAGCTAGGGATTTATAATCTTTCTGAGGTATAAAATAACCCTCCTTTACTTGCTCATAGTGTCTTAAGGAGGGTCCTGCTGTCCTAGGGCTCCTTGGCACCCAGGTTATCTTTCTGCTTATTTCCCACCTGTCCCATGTCATCTCACCTACCCCTCTGCTTCCCCACATAGCTCCCAGCTTCTCTGCTTGTCTACTTCACTGAAGCCTTTGGGAGGCTTATCAGCTCCCTTAGCAGATTCATTGGCTTAAATAGGCTTTCTGTGTGCACACGCACAGAAACCTTGAGCTCTTCCATTGCTCCTACTGTCTTTATCCCCCTCCCTCAAACTCTACTTCTATGCTACTCATTGATACCCCCCCCAACATAACCACTCCAACACAGTCTAAACCATCTCTCTCTCTCTCCCTCCTCCACCCTCCGGGCTGTGTCCTTTGTTGTGGTCCAGTTTAAACATTTAAAACTGGACTTGGGGGCTGTGTGGAAATGGCAGGAAATAGGGGTTGGAGAATGGAGGGAGGGAACTGGTGCAGTATGAATGCAGAACAAGCTGAATAGCGGGAGTACACTGGAGGGGGATGGGCAGCAAAGGCCTGGGGGGTTAGCAAGAAGGCTTTTGAAGTTAGGGGTGACTGTCCTCACAGAGATCTTAGCATGTCTCTAGAGCAGTTGCCTTTAGGTTGTGGTATAAAGGCAGTCACCCTGTTGATCTTTTGAGGTCTGCATACGAACAGCCAAGCCTTTAATTTGAAGAAGTGCCCGTTCCTCTCTTTCTGTTCCATCTGACCCAGCCCACTGTTGATCAGTTCCTTTCCCTTCAGAGGTCAACAGGGTCAGCACCTTCTTTGAGGGTTTCTGGAAGGTGTTTGCCCAGCAGAGCTCTTAGCTCCATGAAAGTTCTGCTTACTGCTTGGAGGTCCACTGGAATGGTGGACAACTAATTACAAACTCAAGAAAAGTGCTGACTTTGCACGATGAGGAGCAGGTGGGGTCAGTAACCAATAGACTGACCCTTTTCATGTTTACTCTCTGCCTACCCTCCCACCTCTGGCACCCTGGCCCAGTTCCATAACAATATTTAGGTTTCCAACTTCCATTGATTTCAGTGGAAGTTAGGAAACTAAATATCTTTGTGCATCTGAGCCCTGTGACCTCCCTCTGCTTTTTTGAATCCCCTTGAGGATTTGCTGTTGCATTCTTGAGGAAGGGTGGGGTGGCGTCCCTCTCTTTTTTTATCAAGGAGGGGCCACTGTTCACCCCCCGCCCCCCAATTCTCCAGAGGATGAAAACATTAGGGGGAAGACCTCAGCTCTTCGCTCACTTAGTGTTCTTGCCTAGCTTCTTGGGGCAAGACTGGGGAAGCCTTACCTCAATGGGTACAGTTTTCCTGGGTTTGGGGAATCCCCACGTCAGACTTCACTAAGAAATTGAGGCTCTGTGCTAGGAATCCCTAACCAAGTTTAGACAGTGATTCCCTGCTCACTAGGTTGGTAATTATATGACCCTGCCCTCATCCCTGCAGCCTTTTCCACCTTCTTTTCTATCTCCTCTCTCTCATCTTCCTCCTAGCTAACCAAAATTTCACTCCCTGCCAAACAGTATCCCCAGCACCCCTGCTGTTCCCCTTCTCTCCTGTCCCTTCCATAATTTCCTTCTGCATTGCCACCTCCTCATGAAATTTCCGTCTGCTATCCCCTGCTTTTCTCTCTGCAACACTGACTGCTTTGGGGTAAATTTCAAATGCTTTGTGTCTCTAGCAGGATTTTGTAAAATAAATTAAGTGATTTGTGCTTTGCCTACATTGGCCAGGAAAATGGTGTTAGTATCTTGCTAGAAAGAACAGTGTTCAGACACAGTTATAGTTACTAGCTTTAGTGCTGGCATAGGCAAAGTCTGACTAATTTCTCTCCCAAATCACCAACTTTGTCTATTTAAAAAATCTTCATGTTTAAGTGCTGTACATACTTCATCTAGCACAAGTGCTGCTACAATTTTATATTTATCTTTTTGTTTTCAAGAATCTGTCACTTTGCACAGCAGCTCTTATGTACATCCTGAGTAGAGATCGTTTGAACATGGATCTAGACAGAGCTAGTCTAGATCTGATGATTCGGCTTTTGGAGCTAGAGCAAGACGCTTCTTCTGCCAAGCTGCTAAATGAAAAAGACATGAACAAAATTAAGGAAAAAATACGGAGGCTCTGTGAAACTGTCCACAACAAACATCTTGATCTTGAAAACATCACGGTGGGTCTCATGATTGTGTTTGAAGGATCTGTTTTAAAACTAATCTAAAGTGAAATGCTTGGTAAAATGAAATTTATTAGCAGCAGCTATCTTTCAATTCTAGTTATTTTAGCAGCAGCTGTCTTTCAATTCTAGTTCTAACTATTTACCTTGTGCCTTGTGATGCTGTATTAGAGGGCCAAGAGTAGTCTGAAATTTCATCTGTTTTCTTTGTAGAATATCTTATATGCAGTACGTACTTTTTCATCTTTAAATTTCCAAATTCTCTTCTAGAACAAGGCTACTCTAATTCTATACAATAAGCTACAATAGTTCTGCAGTTGTCTGCAGTTCACCAAATTATAGTCCTATTGTAGCTAGTAACAGGTTTGTAATTATTTAAGAGATAAACATGAGCTTATAAAGTTTTGATAGCAGTATTTGGTTCCAGACTGTTTGTGTCAGAGTTTTGATCTACTATATATGTTTAATATGTTATGCATCAAAATTAGGTAAAAATAACAGTAATGGTTGGTCTGTAGACGGAGTAAAATTCACAGTTAAAGCTGGAATTCTTCTCAGCTGTGTTGCATCAACAAGTACACCTCTACTTTGAAATAACGCTGTCCTCTGGAGCCAAAAAATCTTACCGTGTTACAGGTGAAACCGTGTTATATTGAACTTGCTTTGATCCACCAGAGTGCGCAGCGCCCCCCCGCCCCCCGAGAACTGCTTTACCACGTTCTGTCCAAATTCGTGTTATATCGTGTCGCGTTATATCGAGGTAGCGGTGTAGTTGGATAATTGTGCAATACCCAAGCGTAATGTGATGAGGTAAAGATTTTGACTCTTCTTCTAAATATCCTTGCTTTTCTTGCTCTTTTAAAGTTCTTACATAAGAACTGTCATCCCAGATCGGACCAGCAGTCCAATTATTCCAAAATCTTGCTTCCAACAGTGGCCAATACCAGATTATTCAGGTGCTTTCCTTTTTTATACAGTGGTGGTGGAAAACCCAAAAAGATGCTGAAAAAAGAGGAGGGGGAAATTCTTTTGCTGTTTGCGTACTGTTCAAATGCCAGTTTTGTCAATGGATTGTTTGACTAAACTTTAACCAACCCTTTTGTACTTCTAATACACATTTTTAACACTCTGAAATGGAATGTATATATACCACTTTGATTTGATGTAAAAATACATGAACAATTTATATATCCAATTTGGTAGCCACAGTATAAACTGCAGTGTATTTATAAATTGTGTATATACAAATAGCACTTTACTTCGGTTGTAAGATCCTCTAAAAGCCTAACAAACTTTCTTTTTAAGTGTAAAGTAGGGCTGTCGATTAATCACAGTTAACTCACGTGATGAACTCAAAAAATTAATCATGGTTTAAAAAAATTAATCCCAATTAATCAGTTTTAATCGCCCTGTCAAGCAATAGAATACCGAGTGAAATTTATTAAATATTTTTGGATGTTTTTCCACATTTTCAAATATATTGATTTCAGTTACAACACAGAATGCAAAGTGTACAGTGCTCACTTTATATTACTTTTGATTAAATATCTACACTGTAAAAATGACAAAGAAAAAAAGTATTTTTTAATTCAACTCATACAAGATCTTTATGGTGAAAGTGCAACTTGCAAATGTAATTTTTTTTTATGTAACTGCCCTCTAAAATAAAACAATGTAAAACTTTAGAGCCCAAAAGTCCACTCAGTCCTACTTCTTGTTAAGCCAATCGTGAAGACAAACAAGTTTGTTTACATTTACGGGACATAATGCTGCCTGCTTATTATTTACAATGTCACCTGAAAGTGAGAACAGGCGTTGGTATGGCACTTCAGTAGCCATCATTACAAGGTACTTGCATACCAGATATGCTAAACATTCTTGTGTCCCTTCATGCTTCAGCCATCGTTCCAGAGGTTATGCTTCCATGTGGATGAAGCTCATTAAAAAAATAATAGATTAATTAAATTTGTGACTGAACATGGGGGGAGAATTGTATGTCTCCTGCTCTGTTTTACCCACGTTCTGCCATATATTTCATGTTATAGCAGTCTCAGATGATGACCCAGCACGTTTATTTTGAGAACACTTCCACAGCAGATTTGACAAAACTCAAAGAAGGTACGAATGTGAGATTTCTAAAGATAGCTGTGGCACTCAACCCAAGGTTTAAGAATCTGAAGTGCCTTCCAGAATCTGAGAGGGAATACGTGTGGAGCATGCTTTCAGAAGTTTTAAAAGAGGAACACTCCAATGCGGAAACTACAGAACCCTTACTACCAATAAAGAATATCAATCTTCTGCTGGTGGCATCGGACTCAGATGATGGAAATGAACATGCGTCAGTAGGCACTGCTTTGGATCGTTATCTAGCAGAACCTGCCATCAGAATGGACGCATGTCTTCTGGAATGGTGGTTGACGCATGAAGGGACATATGAATCTTCAGAGCATTTGGCACATAAATATCTTGTGACGTTGGCTGCAACAGTACCATGGGAATGCCTGTTCTCACTTTCAGGTGACGTTGTGAACAAGAAGCAGGCAGTATTATCTCCTGCAAATGTAAACAAATTGTCTGAGCGATTGGCTGAACAAGAAGTAGGACTGAGTGGAGTTGTAGGCTCTGAAGTTTTACATTGTTTTATTTTTGAATGCAGGTTTTTTTAACATGATTCTGCATTTGTAAGTTCAACTTTTATGATTAAGAGATTGCACTATAGTATTTGCAATGGGGGAATTGACAAATACTATTTCTTTTGTTTTTTACAAATATTTGTAATAAAAATAAATATAAACTGGGCACTATACCGTTAGTATTTTATGTTGTAATTGAAATCAAGATATTTGAAAATGTGGAAAACATCCAAAAATATTTAAATAAATGGTATTCTGTTATTGTTTAACAGTGCGATTTAATCGTGATTAATTTTTTTTTTTAATCGCTTGACAGCCCTAGTTTAAAGCTGCTGGGATGAGACTTCTCTTGTTAGTTTCATCATAGCACGAATAATAGTAGATAGGTTAAAGCAGCAAAGAGTCCTGTGGCACCTTATAGACTAACAGATGTATAGGAGCATGAGCTTTCGTGGGTGAATACCCACTTCTTCGGTTGCATCTAGTAGTCTATAAGGTGCCACAGGACTCTTTGCTGCTTTTACAGATCCAGACTAACACGGCTACCCCTCTGATAATAGGTTATAAGCCTTTCAAAATTTTATGTTTAAAAGAAATTTGTAAAGAACCTTTAAACTAGGTTCGACGGGGACAGGTGAGCAAAGCCCACAGGTAAGTGGGGAACATGGAGAC